CCCCCATCAGACAGTTTTGAACCAATACCCAAGTTATTAAATGATCTTAATACAACATTTTGTTTATTGCGTCTAACATATCGAGCAGTTTTAGCATCCCATTTTTCACGTGGACCATCAAGCCAAGTAGCTTGATAAACATTTCCATAACCTCCAGATCCAATGAATCGAACTTCTTTAAATTTAGAGAAAGGTATCCATTCTAAATAATCAAATCGACTTGGAGAAGAAAGTTGGGTTTCCAAGATAAACATATCTATATCATCATTACCACTTGACCATGAACCGAATTTCATTTCAAAAACCTTTGCTTGACATGTTGAACACCAATGAATATAATATCCAACCTCGTCAATTGGACTTTCACATGTTGGGCAAGTTCCTGGTAAAATTTGGGAATCTTGATCATCTTCAGATTTAATACCGGTATCCTCATTTTGATCTACATTTTTTTTCGAATCGGGTAATATTGGATCCGTTTGTTGATTAATCTGTGAATATTGAGCATCTTGATGCTTAATTTGTGAATATTGAGCATCTTGATGCTTAATCTGTGAATATTGAGCATCTTTATGCTTAATCTGTGAATATTGAGAATTTTGATGCTTAATATTTGCATCCACGATAGGATTTGTATTTGCATTAACATTCACCATATATTCATCATTCATAATAAGGTTTGCATTTGCATTAAAATTCGCCATATGCATTTAATTTAGCATTTGAATTCATGATAGGGTTAACATATGCATTCACGATAGGTGATATTGGTTCAGTTCGTTGATAATTCATTTTATAATTACTTTTCCACAAATTCGCATCAAATGTTTTATCCGAAAAAGTTTGGTCATGATAATTCCATCTATTATCAGAAGAATTATTTCTTTTATGATCATAACCAATTACAACATGTCGTCTTTGATCAACTGAGAGCGGTGTACTCCTGTGCCTTTTCCAATTTCCTGGATGATCATAGTCACCATTTTTTATTGGAGTTAAAGGACTCGTATAATTAGAATTTTCTCTCGTTTCGTGTTGTTTTGTCCATTCTACTTTATGTGGTTTTCGTATATATGAATTTTCTTCTTGTTTATATCATAAAAAAAAAAAAAAAAAAAAAATTTATTAACAACGCAATTGAATATGAGTATTATAAAGAAAATATATCAATTACCTTGCCAAATAATCGCAGAACTTTATTAGGAACCATTTTTTTTTTTTAAAAAAAATTCAAAACGAATGTGCTATTTAGAGGAAAGTGCGAAACTCTTTTTTTATTTTTAAAAAAATCTCTAACATTATTCAAAAATTTCTTTATATAAATCTGTTAGGTCGATCGACCCTTTCCATATTAGGACATAATTTATCGATATATAGTAATAGAAGAAATTCATGTTAGCCCAGTAGTTCCTGTGTAATATGTAATATTTTCGTGTTGTATTTTAATTATAAGATAATTTCGGATCGTATTACATAATATTTACCCGAAATGTAACTCTGTACGCGTACGACCATACTACACCGCGTAAAAATTACGAGGACAATATCAGTTCTAACAAACCCAGTTTCAAGATTTTTTCTGGTGTTAGGGTACGCTATGTAATGTACTGTATGTTAATCGTTACAAAATTAACAGTGTATGCGCTTATACATTGAAATTATTGGTCAATTACAGAACTTTCAAATTGCCGGTTAGATTTCACAATATTGAGGTCGAAGTTATGATTACCAGAAAATTGATAAACAAGTCAAATTATTTCAAAATAGGAATATCAAAATATTTCAAAATTGGAAAGTAGACAAATACATTGTTTCACAAACTGTATTTAGCCCGGTTATTTTTGGCAGGAAAAATATAACATAAATCATTTTGTTTCAATTTTGTTTTGTCAACAAACATTAGAAACAAAGTAGTGCAGTTACAAAGATATATGCATATATTGCTATTATTATCGTAATATTTAATGAACCAATTAAGAGTAAATAAAGAGTGTGCACATCTAATAATAAGGCGTAAAAATTTGTGAGATTGAGATATTTGTGCTTGTGTATGTAAATTTTACGGTAAGGATCAAAAAAAGAAATAAGTCATTCGGAATGGTAAAAAAAGGTTGATTCCAGCGCCGCCAATAATCGAGAGCGCAGTCACATGATTTTTCGACGTTGATTATATTACCAATCATTCGACGTACGTACGTATGTAGAGTATTATTATTATTTGCTGAATTACTTGATGTCGTTGATATTTTGTTAAAAAAACCCATCGAGATTATCTTTTAACTTTTCTGATTCGACTTTATACTGTATTCGGAGCGAAATCCGATGGTCACATGTAATATTTATCCATTTTATCTTGTGCTACAGACATTTTTGTATTGACTGTACCAGGGTGCGGGAACGATACAAACTCGTAGAATGACAAAACAAATGACAAAACATGTGCAATTAGTCATTAATATTAAGTGTATTCTTTAATTTAATTCACCATTTTCTGGGCAAATTTTAAGGCATATTAAATATGACCTCATTCGCGAAATTTCTGCCCATGTAATTATTACGTAGTATGACCTCATTTGTTATTATTTATTTTTCTTATAATTCGTAGTCTCAACAATGATATTTTTTATTGTTGCAATTTTTGATTTTTACATTAATACAATCTAGAAATAATGTATCTAATTTTATCTTTTACCTAATGCAGAGAGATAGTTTTTCTTAATACAGAAAATTAGTTTCTGTACGTAGCGGTAGCAAACTTAAATTTTGTGGCTTAATAAAGAAAGATAGTTTCTGTAGCAAATTTAATTCTTTGAGATTGGTTATTTTTTTATAGAAAACCTGGGACAGGTTGCGCAAAACACAACTTATTGTTACAATGATAATACAAATTTCGAAAGCCATACGTACAATTTGAAATTTATACAAATGCAGAAAATATAGCTGAAAGCAAATAAAGCAAATAAAACTATTAACTTTCTTTATTTGCTTTGATGTTATGTGATAGCTTATGCGATTTACGAACTTGCATTTCTTGAGGATCTGTATTTTCAAGTTTAACCTAAATAACGTTTTTTGCCAATCGTTTTGTTCTACGTTGTGCAGAGGTAGAGGTTGCCCGAACTGAAATTTATATTCTACTACGAGCTCATATACAGTATTAAAATATGGAATCTAATTTTGATTGTATTTTTTGTTATTAAATATGGATATG